AAAAATGCACATGGAATCTCCCTTTACTTAGCTCCTGAGGCCAATGAAAGCTTGGGGCTTCTCTTGAGCTGAAGATCTGAGGCTGCAAAGCAAAAGGATTGCTGAGAACAATTACAAAGAACCTGAGAAAGGAAGTTGAATACAATCTATGAAAGGAAAATGAATACTACAATCAATTACAAGAAGGAATTCTCACAGGAATCCAGATTTGTTTTGGTGATAGTTTATTATAGAGGACCTCCTGTTTGTTTGAGAGGGGGGGGGGGGAGCCCCTATTTACTAATCAGGCGCCAACATTAACATGTCTTGTGTCATGAACCTTCAACAAACTCAACAACAAAAACAACAACAACAACAACAACAACGACAACGACAACGACAACAACAACAACAACAACAACATTATTCTCAAAACTCCCAAGTGGTGGTTTACCTGCAAATGTACAATACACACATATACAGACCATACCAGATCTATGTAGTCTTTAAATATCTTTAGGATTTGAACCATCAGTTCTGCGTAAGGCACATATGTATATATATATATTGCAGATGATGGAGGAGAGTCCAAACAGTTCCAAACTAAATTTGAACATCCTCAGGTTCGACCAAACGTGTGCCCCACGAAAACGAAAAAAAACAAAAACACAATGCGGACCATCGACGATCTCTCAGATGTCGGTTTCCCCAACTCCTCCATGTACCTGCACCCGACTCAACCAGGTGTCCGGGTTTTGATGGCGCCATTTGGAGACTTGCGCCAGGGCAGTGTGTTGGGGTCCAGACTGAAGTGGGTCATGCCGCCCCATCATCGACCCCCTGAACAACCGCCCAAGGACTGTGGCAGTACCGCCGTTCGGGCGGTCGTGTCGGGTGTTTTTTGGACGCGCACCGGTTACTGTCTCCACCCTGGCACTACAAAGTCTGGGTGGTGATTGGATGGAACATACATGGTGAGGCGGGGGTTCTATGAAGCACCCGAACTGGGTGCCAGTACTGGTGTTTTCGGTGTTTGAGTCAGGAAACTGCAGTCTCCACATTCCTCCAGGTAAACTCTCCTACCCGAAGAAAAGGAGATCCCTGACGTTCAGAAAGGAGCACATCACATTCCACCTGCTTCTTCGTGGTGTGTTCTCAATCGGACCTTCCTGGGAACGGATTCGGTCTCCAAGATGTTGAACCGTTTCTCATCCGATCGTGCAGAAGTGCCAAACGCGGAAAAACGCACTCCCCGGAGCCGAAACCTGCTAGGTCACCACCTGTCACTTTCAAGTATTTTCAAGTCTCCAAAAATAAAAGCACCAGAGCCCCGGCACACTACGCGCTAGGCTCGCTGCTGCAACATGGAGTTCTGCAAGAGCTGCTCACCGCGAATGACTGACCTGGCAAAACAAGTTTATGTCTTCGACGGCTGGATCATGGACCTGTGACTGTGCAGTCTTTTGCGGCAGCTCTTTGAAAGCAATCCACAAGAGGTCACCAGAGGGGCCTCTCAATTTTGAGCCCTCTTTGGAGCCCGTGAACTCCAATAGGTACTCCAAAAGGTTCGAAAGGTCATCACCCAGATGAACCAAGGCTCGTAAGTAAGCCTTTTCTATTCCGTACAGAACAGTGGTTCTCAAGGGAGAATCACGCACAGTGTGATCTTTCGAACATGGGTGCATTTAGGTGGATTCCGCTAACATGAGGTTAAACAGAACCCTGACGATTAGTATTTGGTTACAATTTGAACTATTAGTCTATTTTATATTATATAAGGCTCTTTGATCAAATAAACAACAATTTGTGTGACAAAACTTGCAGATAGGATATAAACTATAGGTTATTTGTAGAAATAGACGTTCTAATAGGATATGGCCTTCATGTTATTCTTGTAAAAGTACGTAGCATTGCGGAGGTTTCTAGAAAACGATGTGGTTTTGATCATGTACAAACCAAACATATGTCACACAAACACGTTTGTCAAACAGTAGGTTTTTTGATTGCACATTTTTTTTTGTTTGCGTTTTTTGGTAGCAACTTTCGTTGCAACAGTTTCCCTTGCTCTCTCTCTCTCTCTTTTTGGGATGCCTTGGGCACTGGAGAACCTGGGAGTGTCATTTGCCTTTTCAGCCGCTGTGCTGTTTGCAAGCTCTTCTGTAACTTTTGTATCTTGTTGTTTTCCTGTGCATTGCCTTCTACCTTTGTCTGCCATGGCTGGTTCAAAAACTCACCTACTGCCTACCAACCAAACTGAATGTGTACGCACACGTAGTAAAAAGGTTGTTTGTGCCGATCATTTTTTGTCATGCATGCACCCTAGTCCTGGTGCCTGCAAAACTGCTACAACAAAAATACGTTTGCAATCTCCAGCTTTAAAACAATGTGTTAAGACCTTATCAATGTAACATAACCCTTTTGATATTCAAGGTCATCAGTTTTTGCTTGAAACCAAAACCAGATGTTCATTTTGCGGAAAATACAAACTGTTCAACAACAGTTGATTTTATGTTGACAATACCTGGTGCATGCTAAGGACAAAAACACATTCTTGATATATATATATGTGTTTTATAGTTATATTTATATATGGGTGTTGATCTAAATTCCTTCATCCGGGATGCGCCATTCTTAGCCAACAAAAATACATTAACCAAATGTTCGCCCTCCTGCGTTATTTTTCGCCGAAGTATGTTGTATTTATGTTTGCCATGTATGCTGTATGACGGATATCATATTTTCTTGTCAACGGCTTCTTTTGTATTGACAGATAAAAAAACTGTTTTTCAGCATGTGTCTTCTACTTGACAGTTGACACCCTGTACGTCTCTTTTGTTTCTCCTGGGTGTCTCAAGAACCAAAAATTGCAAGAATCACCGCGGCAGCCGGTCGCTCAGACTTACTCATATAGGGCTAGGGTCAGATGTGGCAGGGTACACTTTCGCCAATCTTGAACTGAACTTTCGCCAAACTTTCGCCTTTTGCGGGATAGAGTTTTGTGGTAGAGGGCGTACTCCTGAGTCGTCAAGATGGCCACAACATGCGAGGTCTCCTCCAGCGCGAGCCGGGCCAGCCAATGGGATGATTTGCCAGCACCAGTCGGGAGCGCAAGCACCGGATAGTTATGGCGCAGGCCCCGCATCCACTCCAACTCTTCCGGACTCGCCGACGCAGGCATGTCCTCAGGCTGCACTGACTCGGCATCTCCGCCAAGAGTAATTACAGAGGCGAGGAGAATCCAGCCCCAACAAAAGGCAGCGCAAGACATCCTCCGACAGCTCTTACTACAGCCAGCTCGTTGCTTCGGGCGGAAAGCCGCTCCGCCCCGTCGGCCAGAGCCGTTCAAAGATTTGAAGAAAAAAAGATCCTGGTCCTCAATGGGATCTGGCTCGCACTCCTCGTCCACCTCACTGATGGGATCTGGCTCGGGTTACTGGCTGTTTCATGCAATGTTGTTTGCAACTCATGGTTCTGAAGGCACAGTGTTAAGTTTATTTGTTTGATTGTTTTTTTGTTTGTTTGTGTGTTTGAGTCCTCCATTGCTGCGCCATTGGCTGCCAAAAGCGGCATGAAAGATCCGATCCCCTGACAATGAAACAAGCCATGTTGTTATGTATGTGCACATTTGTTTGCTTGGAATTGTGGTTGATTGAACTTTTTCATGTTCGATGCATTTCCAATGTAATTAGTTGGTCGCAGCCTTTGCATCATACAAAAGAGATGCCCACTGGCCACATTGGGGAGATGCTTCTGCAACCGGGGCACGGCCAAACCTTGCCAGAGATGTCGATGTAGCTGCCGTCCACATACTGTCCGCCCCATCGGTCAAGGTGGATTCGGGCGCCCGTGGAGCTGTCTGACCGGTCTGTGGAATTGCTTTATCCAAGTAAGCCCCAGCGCCATTCCCATGAATCCCAATCGATCACGAATTCTTAGATGCTGCGGGCCTCACTTGCCCATGAATTCATCGGCCTGACGTGCCACCATGATACAAATCCCGCATAGCAAAGTCCTATGATAATTCCCCAGATAACGTGAACTATCGGGGTTCTTACTTCAAGCATAGTTGCTAGCGATCTAGTGGGGTTCCTACTTCAAGTATAGGAAGAGCTGCGTATGTGCGTTCTCGAGCCTGGGCGCTGGTGCCGTTGCAGTGCCGCTGCTGCTGTGTCACTGCAGGGTGCCGCTGTGTGCATTTTGGTGTTGGGTGCGGCACAGTGCGCTGCCAGTTTTTTCCCCAGATAGCTGCAGGCTATAGAGGTTCTAACTTCTCAACGGTGTGGCTCTGGCTGGCAACTCCAGCTCTGCTAGACAGGAGGCAGGCCTCTGGCCCATGCTAATCCTAGCCTCAAGGCGTTGGAACAAGGCTGTACGAAGCTCACGCAACGAAACGTCATCAGCTCCACCTTGTGGAGGCAGGAAGATGCCAAGGCTATAGGGATGTGAGAAATTCTATGATCCTGAATCCCTTGTGGGTGATAATGCTCGCATACTTGCACATGCGCTCAAACTCTGGTAGGTCTTACGAGCTTTTCCAGCTGTCCACTTAACTGCCGTAAATGGTCCATAGTTACGTATTGTTCACGTAAAAACTCCCTTGGACGAAGTCGGCAAAGACAAGAGTCCTCCACGTAAAGCACATATGGCGCTGGCGGCTGCGCGCCGCGCGAGGCGGGTGCCGCTGCTAGACTTCGGCCGCTAGGGCTTGGCGCAGCAGCTGGCTGCCGCCGTACACGGAGCTGATTGTTGCAACCGGGGCACGGCCAAACCTTGCCAGAGATGTCGATGTAGCTG